GCAGCCTTGACCTGCTAGGCTCCGCCTTAGCCTTCCAAGTAGCTGGAACTACAGGCACGCGCTACCATGCCAGGCTAATTTTTTGATTTATTGTAGAGATGAGGTCTCGCCAAGTTGCCCAGGCGGGTCTCGAACCTGCGGGCTCAGGCAATCCACTCACCTCAGCCTCCCAAAGTGCGAGATTACAGACTGAGCCACCGAGCCCAGTTTAATTGTTTAGTTTGATACTAAAGCTTCTAATTTTATTTCTTATATAATAGAAAATATTCTGGTTCCGTTTGCAGCATATATTTGCGATTTCACTCACAATTGTAGATTAATGGATTTTATAACCTATCACTTACGATTGATAAACTAGACTAATGGCATGAAACAGTGATGAGTGGGACATCACATACAATTTAATACACTAAGGTCCTGGTATCTCTAAAAAATCTATTACCCTCAACATCCTTAGATATTTTAAATATCTCTTGGCATGAACTTGGGTCTGTGTGGACCCAAAGTATAATAGAATCCTTTCCCAGGGAGGAATGAGGACTCATGGCTGCCTGCAGAGACTGCATCTCAGTGGAAACTGACTCCTGACCTGACCAAACTTCACTCCTCCAGGAGGGAGGGGTGATTAAAGAAACATGTACCATGGATCACACACCTTAGAGAACCACAGAAATTCCAGGTAATCTGAGAGAGAATCAAGGAGTCTGTGAGAGGCTGGCATTTTCCCTGAGACAGGCACAGCTGGGAACTAATTGAGCAATAGTGCCTTGGCACCACCTTGAGGTGGACAATGTTCACATGGACCTGCCACAGGAGGAGCAACCCAGGGGCCCGGGATGTCTGGTGCAGAAGTAAGAAGAGACAGTCAAGAAAGAACACGATTTTCTAGTTTCTAATAAGCTAAAAAAGCATAGACCAAAATGAAATTGTTCTACTGCAATCAGGAAAAAAGAAAAAAACAGCTGCCTACACGGAAACTCCTAAGAGCAAGTTCTCAGTTTGGAGAAGTCTTTCTTCTTGATTAACACTGAGATTGTTTAGAATATGCATTTAATAAGTTATGATTGCAATATTTTCATCGACTTATATTGTCGTGGAATATAAGGCATTAACAACTGCCCTTGCAATCTAGCAGTGCATATTGTTTCATGAATTCGGACTCCTCCCATATGTACACTGTAAAAGTTGGCATCTGTAAACATTGCATTTAGCTCAGACTTAAAATCTTGGGCATTTCTCCTATCCATCAGGAACATGAAGAAGTCAAGCAATGTTCTTAGGCCTGGTGGGGTCATTCTGGCTTAGCGGAACTTTGAGAGGCTCTTACATGTCTTGTCTTTGATGTAGGCACACAGAACAAATTAGAAAGCATTCCATAAGCTTTATCTAATTTTAATTTAATTCAATTTTATTTGTTTGCTTTGTAAAAACATCTGCCTTTGCATCTCAGATTTAGGTAAAGTGTTTATCAGAAGACCTTCCCTGCTGGAGAAGGAAGATTCCTGGAAATGTGTTAGATAACCATTGCTGAAATTCAGAACAACTCAGGGGGAGCCTGATGCCTGAGGGTCCCTCAGTAGCCTCGAGATTTGCAATGCCTGCCACTGAATAACTTGGGATCAGTAGAGATACCATACAGAAATATTTTATACTCATGTGAAATTACTTTGAGCAGAGATCAGAAGTACTTGGGACAGGGCAGACCAAACTGATCTGGATCATGACATACTGCTCTTTGGAAAAGCAGTGGTACCAGTGGCCTCTCAAGTTCAAAGCCACTAATTCATCTCACCCATGACTTGGGAAATGTTAAACAAGGCTGTTATCATCAGACTAGGGAAGACATTATCTGACTAGGTAGAAAGCTATTCTGTGAGGATGAGAAAGACATACAGAAAACCAGGTCCTGATGAGAACTGGTCAGGTTCCTCTTGCCTCTGTCTGGTTGTTTCTGAGTTTTCGAGGAGGGACTCATATCTCTGGACTGATGTGTATCAGGGACTCTCACAGTTAGAAAACACTAGACTCCCTGCTTACCCTTACACTTGAGCAATTATGGTAACAAACAGCAAGTCATGAATTCATCTCTATGACAACCTAAATAACTTTTAAAAACCTGAGTAGATGGATTTCAACTCTTTAATCATTCATGGCATTCTATTATGTTTTGTATAGATCAGACACCTTTGTCTACATATGCCAGTATCAACTCTGACACTGTAGAGTGCTGACTGAACAAAAGTACACTAGAAATTGTTGGGGTTTTCATTCCAGGGCTTTCATTCCAGGACTTACTTTGGCCAAGAGCTTGCAATTTGCTTCACTGTAGTATGTGGAGATTGAGAAGAAACAGCTAAAATCTCATTATCTAAGGTCAGATGAGATAGATCCTGAGAATCACCTGCCCTTGGGTGATGTTGTCCCTCAGGAATTCTGTTCTTGATACTCTGATCTCTGCTGTGCCACATGTCTTGGGAAATCCCTATCGTTATACATCGGGCTTGACAGATGGTTATGTTACCACATGACCTCCATATTCTGAGCATCCTTTGATGGGCTGAGGTGGCAGGGCAATATAGTCTCTCCTCCTACCAAAGAAATGACTGGAGCTGCTGGTCCCATCACATGGAAATCTCCTGGAAGCAACTTAGAAAAAGGTAGAATCAACAGAACCTGTGACAGACATGGTTGTGACCTGCAAATGGAAGACTAGTAGACATAATGAACTGTGGCCAATAACAATGCTCAAAGACACTGTTAGAACAAGAGGCAAGAACAGGACCTCATGCCAGTGTGCAACAGTCACGTGCCTTAAACAAAATTTAATGTTTCTCATTTTCCTAGTATTGGAAGTCAAATTCACATAAATCACTTTACTTAAGGCTCATAAGAACTAGTGTATTATACACATCTTCACCTTAGAGATGAGGAAATTTAGTCAAGGAGTAATTGGGTAATTTTCCCCAAACCTACTTCATAAGGGATAAAATGAGGATTGCAATAACGGCAACCAAGTATGTTCTTTATTTAAACCATGTGTTACTCAATAAGATTATAATGAAATACAATATGAAAATATTAAAAAATAATATTGTTGTGAAATAGAAAACTTAGAATGCTATATAGCACTGCTTCCTGAAATTAGAAAATTAATGTACAGTATGTGTACATAATGAATATTCTAAAATCTAAGTATAGTACATCTCTGAGTATAGCATTTTGAGAAGGAACTACAAAACTTACTTAAAAATTTAAATTTTGCCTGATGCCCAAAGGGAGAGACGCCTTTTCCTCCCTCTCTTTTCTTAGAGCACTTCCTTGAGAGCACTTTGATTTTTTTCTCTGTTTCTTTCACTGGTCCTTCAATGTGTATTTAAATGTTTCCAAAGTCTCCTACCAGTTTTACCACTGAGTGTCTTTCTATAGGACCTGGGAGCCAATAGCTTGAAATGTAACCTGGTTTCATGTTGTACTTTTGCATTTGACATAAAACTAGGAGAAATTGTTTTTGTTTCTCTGGGAAAAGGCAATTAAGTAACACAAATAGCTATCCCAGTTACAAGATGAATTTAGCATAAAGATGTATATCACACAGTGTTGTCCAATCTTAGTTGAAGACAAGTTATCTGATCATTTGTCTTGAGAACATTTAGTTAATAGATTTCATATGCATGGTTATATATGATTTATTTCTCTCTTTGAAATTTCATTGCTGAACTGTTTGTGATGTGATACATTTCTTTCGTGGATTGCCTTTTATGTGCTTGCAAGTTGGTTTTATGCTCCGTTAAACAATAAAATTCTTCAGACGTTTTCTACATTTCTGGAAATGATTTTCTGGGAGGAGATTTTATTCTTAATTATTTCTCCAACAATAACCATATTGTTCTTTATATATATTGTTTTTATTTAGATATCCCTCATGAGTAGAATATCTCAGATTGTAACAGCTTTCACCCTTCAAGTTTTTGTTCTTGTTTGTTGTTTTTTGATTTTACTCTTACATTGTAAGCATATCATGGAAGTTTATATTTACAAGTAAAATGCTCTTCCCAATTTTAACTAACTAGATCCCTTAATTTTCTACTGGAGTGTTCAACACCTCCTGTGTAGACTGTCTGCTTTGGGCAGACACCAGAGGATGACAGGTGGCAACAGAGTTACCTACTCTAGGTGAAAGGTGGAAAGATTAATTCTATCTTTGAGAACCTGCCTTTCCCACCTGCTAGATGCCTAATCCTTAGATGAATCACTATTAAAACAGTAAAGAGGTTACTCCAGGTAACGGGGAGCCATAAGACCACAAAACAATGTCTTTCTTTCCAAAGAACACAAATTCCAGTTTAATTGTCAAATAGAGAACATTTCATGTCATGATAAGAGCCAAGAAGGAAGATGCTAGATGAAGGGTAAAGGGAAACTGTCATTGATGGAACAGAGCTTCAGAGCCTGTGCTCCTCAGGGCTGTCTGCCCACTTAAAAGAGGACAAAATGAAACAGGCCAGGAAGGCAAAGCAGGAACTTGATAGACAGAAAAAATGATGTTCCTGAGGAGGCTGAGAATCACCCATTGAATGGCACAGGCTGAGAGCACAATAAGTCATAAAGGGAGCAGAGTCCACATTCAGGAACAATCCCATCTTCAGCATACTGCACATATAAAACATGAATAAAATCAATTGAAGTAGACAAAAATAAATGGAAACAGTTCATGCTGATGAATGGAAAGACTGAATATTTCATTTTTTTCACAAATAATCAGCATTTATTTCTGGGTCCTAGGTGTCACTTATCTTGGAAGAAAGGGCAGATAATTGGTCAGATAATTGTAGACAAAATCCCGTTCCTACACATGGGCCTGTGAGGGGCCATGAAGCTCCATGATGGGCCTTGAAGCGGCAGAGATATGAGAGTGTAGCTTTAAAATGGCTTTTAAAAATGTGAATTGATTGTTATCTGTCTCCCTCTGCTGAAAAACAGTTTAATTTTTTTAAAAAAGTTTAAAAGTGTGTTTTAAAAAATGGATAAGAATGTCTTGACTCAGAAGGCTGGGGGTGGAGAGGAGGGACTGTTGTTGGGATATGGTCCCTGGCCAGGGCACCCGCTAGAGGAATGCTCCTGCGTGGGCTGCTTGCCCTGGTGAGCAGGGCCCAGTCCGAGTCCCGGTGCCAGCTGAATAAATAACATCTTGTGGCTACAGTGTCTCGAAAGTGTACCTGGGCACGGTGAGATGGTGGTAGGGACGTGGAACCTGTGGGTGTGGGCAGAGGGCTTTCCCAGAGTTGGGGCCACAAAGGCCTCTTGGGGCCTCTCGGTCTGGCCTGGCTTGTCTGGGACATGGGACTCAGAATAGGCTGCTGGGCCAGTGTTAGGGTTCTCCCGGGAGGGGACAGCAGATCTCTCTTCCAGCCTCTGTGGACAAGGTCGAACTCAAGATGTGGTGGTGCATCGCTGCTCTGGGGCTGGATGCTAGCCTCCTTGTCTGGGGCGCTCGCCTCCGCCTGTCCTTCTGCCCCTGTGAGTGCCAGCTTGCCCATGTCTCTGGCCAGCTTCCTCACGCTCACACCCTCCAAGTCTCCTTGGATGTCAGGGACCGCATTCTGGCGGCCTGTCCAGTCACAGGAAATGAAGTCCGAGTAGGAGGACTCGACCTCCATCATGCCTGTCGCATCGCTCCTCAGGCCTGGTTTAACTTCTTCTCCCTTCCCGCATCTCTTCAGATTTTTTACTGTTGACTAATCAATATGGAAATTCTGCCGCCTCGCTGCCTTGCGGTGCGGGGCCGCTGGCCCGCAGCACCTCCTGGGGGTAGCTCGGTGCCCGCAGCCTGCACAGAGTCGCTGCCGTGACGACCTGCAAGACTGAATATTTTAAAATGCTTTCCCTACCCAGTGGGATCTTCATAAATAATCCAATCTCAATGGCATTCTTCAGAGAAATAGGAAAAATAATCCTGAAAGTTTACGTGAAAGTGTAAAAGATCCTGACAAATCAGTAATCCTGAACTGGAAGAATAAGCTGGAGGCATCACACATCCTGACTTCAAATTATATTACAAAGTCATAGTCATCAAAACATTATATAAACAGACACCTAAACCAATGAAACAGAATAGAGAGCCCAGAAATAAACCCACTCATACACAGTCAAGTAATTTTTGACAAGGACATAAAAAGTATATAAAGTGGAAACAATATATCTTTAATGAGCGGTGTAGGGAAAACTGGATATCCATATGCAAAAGGATGAAATTTGACTCTTACATCATACACAAAAAAAAACTCAAAATGAATTAAGGACTTTAATCTAAGATCCAAATGTAGCCGGGCTTGGTGGCTCATCCTGTAATCCCGCGCCTTTGGGAGGCTGAGGTGAGTGGATTGCCTGAGCCCCCGGGGTTCGAGACTCGCCTGGGCAGCGAGACCTCATCTCTACAATAAATCAAAAAATCAGCCGGGCGTGGTAGCGCATGCCTGTAATTCCGGCTACTTGGAAGGCTGAGGCGGAAGGATCGCCGGAGCCCTCAGGTCGTGACCGGAGAGAGTGAGACTCCAACTCAAAAAAAAAAAAAAAAGATCCAAATGTATAAGTCTTTAGAAGAAAACAGGGGAAAAGCTCCTTGAAGTTGGTGTTGCCAAAGGTTTTTGGACTTGACGTCACAAGCATAGGAAGCACAAGCAAAAACATACAGGCAAGATTACATTAAACTAAAGTACTTATGCACATCAAATGAAAAAATCAATATGAAAAGACAATCTAGGAAGTGGGAGAAAATATTTGTACACCTAAAATATTAACTTAATTACAAGTGAATAAAATAAAAAAATTCATGCAATTGAATTGCAAAAAATATATAATCTAAATAAATTATAGAAAAATACTTTATTTCAAGATGGTGAATTAGCAGTTTCCAGCATGCCTCACTTGCCTGTGTGGAAAGTTCAACACACTGAACTTCAATTTAAGAAGAAAACTGGATATTCTGAAGGCTGGCAAACAGCCCCTCAAGGAGCTTGGTGGGGGAAAGTGAGTGCAATCCCAGTACATGGGATTGGAAAAAAAAACACCTCTGAACCAGGGATCTGTTAACCCAAGACACGGGAGAACATCCCATTTCTTCCAGGCCCTGGAGCTGTCTCAGGGGAAAGCCAAGAGTCAAAGAGAGGGAAAGACACCAGGCACAGGTATTTTCTCAAATCCCTGTCTTTGAGGAAGACATCATTATTGACTTAGGATTGGTGTCTGGGCAACATCGACCTCTGCAGGCACTTGGGTTTTGGGACCTCCCACAGTTGGAGGGCCAGGGATTCTCGAGATGCCTCAGAGTCTGGATCCTAAATAGGGCTTATCCCAGTTAGGGAACCAAGAAGCAGGAGAGCCACCAAAGCTACTTTCTGTTCCAGGAAGACAGAACAGCAGCCAGAGTGAGATCTGTGTCCAGAATCGTTCTGTGTGTCACTGTTGAGCACCAATTCCCTTACCCCTAGCCCTCCTTCCCCTGCAAGACCCTCTGGACCTTCTCTGTAAGTGGCATCAGCAACACTAGAGAGGACCCAGAATACCAGTCAAAATGGCAGGAGCCCAGCAGGGAGTCCCCATTCCCAGGCCCTTGAACCTGCAGCCTGAGCAGAAAGAGATCTGCTGTTGCTGAGGTATCTCAAGGACAGCTGATCATGAGGCCAAGGTCAGTTCTCCAACCTGGAACTGTTAAGTAAGCACCACTACTAAGAGCTCCAGTCTCCCTCCCAGGCCAGCTGGGGTAGATAGGCCCAGCAATTGAGAGGAAAAGGAGGGCCCCCACGTCTACATGAGTGGGAGAGCAGTCTAGTGGCAGGAGACTAGCACAGAACCTCCTGCCTCCTCACATGAATCAACAGCCAGAACACAGGAGAGTTCCTGATCCCGTGGCCTCTCCCAGATAGCATGACCTGAAGCCAAGTTAGACTTTGTGACCTGGAGTTGGGCTGCAAGTATCATTGTGGGGTGACCCAGTCTGCCCCTCTAGTCAGTTGAGGAAGCACACCCCTCTAGTACCCAGGAACAGGCGGGCCCCATTTCTATATACCCGGACTAGCAGCCTTGGCTGTCCACCCTCCCTGTGCAAGGAGACTCCCTGTGCTCCTCCCCCAGGCCCTTCCCCAGGCAACTGGGGCTTCTGCTTGTGTGGGACATCACCTAAGCCACCCCTTCCCTATGGTTCAGAGAATTTATGTTGGGAAACCCCCACTGCCCTGTGCCCAGGTGAATCTCCAGGCAGTCAGAACACCTACAAGCCTGTACAGAAGCCCCCAACTCCATTCCTGTACAGAAATCCTGCTACAGGGAGGGGATTGCATTGCTCTAGGTGCAGGCATCTCCCAGGCGTTAGAAGCATCTGCTTGCTGGAACCTGCAGCTGAGCCACCCCACCCATCTCTTAGAGATGACTGTGAAGTGGTTCTTCCTCTGCTCCAAGTCCTGGCAAACTCCTAAGCAACCAGCACACCTGCCCAACTGATTAACTCCTGAGTTACCTCTCCTTCTCCTCGCAGTAAACTTTGTGACAGCAGTGGTTACCTTGCTACTTACTGGGGGACCTAATGTCAGACACCCTGGATCAACTGCCTGAGCCACCCCACCTTGATGCTACAGGGGTGCTCCCCAACTCCACACTGAAAGACATCAACATCCAGTGCACCTGCACCCTTGATTAGCACCCTCCCCACGTGCACCCTGCATAGACTTTCTCATGATGTCAATCACTCTGCAGATCAGCTCACTGCTGAGACAACTGAGAGCTTCTCCCAGCAAACGAGGATTATGTAAATAGCCAACCACACTGGCAGTAGCCAACTCTTACCATAGGTGCCACCTGCTGGCATGGAAGTTGAACAACACATCACAACAGGTAACCTGTTTACACCAGTGCACACTGAGCAGCAAGATAAGCTTCCAGAGACCTGTGCCACCCCAGCCTCACAGGAGGCAGCAAGCCGGCCAACATACCCGGCCAACATACCCGGCCAACATTGCTACTACAAACAAAATTCAGGAAAGTCTACATATACAGGCTATCTTTACCCATGGAACTTACACAGACTAGTCAGTATAGTCCATTCAGATGAGAAAGACCAGAGAAACAACTCTGAAAGTATGAAAAAATAGAGTGCTACCCCTTCAAAGGGGATGCTGTCTCTTCTTCAACAGACCCTAACTAAAATGAAGTCCCTGAAATTTTCTGATAACAAATTCAAAACACTGATCATAAAGAAGTTTATTGAGTTTCAAGGGAAAGCAGATAACCAACACAAATAAATTAGTAAAATAATTCAGGATAGGAAAACACAGATTGACAACATAAACCCCTTTGTGTCCCCTACCACTGTAGGAGCGTTTTCTTCTTCTCAATAAATCCTGCTTTCTAAAAAAAAAAGATCACCCAAATATTTGGTCAGAAGATTGAGTCAGCAGATTAAAATGGACAGGTATTATGGGGATCGCATTGGTGACTGGCATCTGAAGTGGGAACAGTCTTGTGGGAATGATCCTTTAACTTGCAGATATCACTAACTCTGGATAGTTAGGGCCAGAATTTAACTAAATTACTAGATATTCAACAGGTATAAAGAATTTTATAATTGGTTGATGTTAGAAAAAGACATAATTGACCCAGCAGACAGCTTAAAAATACAAAAAAAATTCTGCCATCTATGATGACTTATGAGGTCTAATTTCACATTTAAATTGAAGTTCAACTATTTAACCAAATGAACTGATCACTGTGGAAGGAAGAAAACAAACAAACAAAAAGAAAGCAGAGAAGGCCACTGACAAAGCTCATATGTAGAACTTTTACTCTGTTGACTTTTAAAAGTGTATTTCCATTCAAAGTGGAAAATATAAAGCAGCTGTATTTGCCCAAACTGCCATTGCTATGGTATTATTTTGTATATGTGTTGTGATCAAGTGTGTATGAAGAAATATTTTCCAGATATCACGTCCTGAATTCCTCACAAATCCATTGGCATAGCTATTATCAGAACCTGATGCAGTAGAGTGAAATAACTGAGCTTAAGAATAAAGAAATTCAAAGCATTCTGATAGGATACAACCTTCTTATTTTCTGACACATAAAATAATATATTCTTCTGGCTGGATATGGTGGCTTAGCCTGTAATCCCAGCACTTTGGGAGGCCGAGACAAGAGAGACCAGCCTGGGTAACTTGGTGAGACCTCATCTCTACAACAAATTACAAAAACTAGCCAGGTGTGGTGGTGTTCATCTATAGTTCCAGGCTGAGGCGGAAGGATCACCTGAACCCAGCAGGCCGAGGCTGCGGTGGCCATGAACTGATCACTGCACTTCAGTCTGGGCGAAAAAGAGTGAAACTCCAACTCAACAACAACAAAAAAGATTATATACATGTTTTTTACAATTTAAATTTATCACATTTCTAATTTTTTTTAATAGTTACTAATTAGAATGCCAATGACAAAAGATAGGGGAGCTCTAAGGACATCCATCCTGTGTTCAAAGACTTTCACAGATCCAGTTGACAAACTTCACTCTAGGTAATATCAGAAGGCTTACTATCCCCACTATATGTGGTGATAAGTGACTATCAGATATAATCTCCCTTTAATCCCTCCTTAATGGTGACAGAAGCAATCAGACCTAATCCCTACCTTCAAATCTGCATGTGATTTACACAGGATGGGGTGGTCCTTCCCTATTCCCACTCTCCTGCAGCCTGAAATCATTCTTTAA